CCGCGTCAACTGATGAAGAAAATTCACGGCCACAATGCTTCGATACGTTCTTTCAGCAGGTGAAATGGATACGATAACCAAATAAGTACAGTTTGGGCGAGTGCACCCATCGGTTCAGGATACTGATGTGTAAGCAGAGCTAAAAGCGCAGTGAAAGAGCAAAGGCCTGCTGTAAACAGAATAAAAAATGGCAATTCCTTTTTGGGGTAAACTGAAACCTCATGAAATGACGGCAGCAATTCCCGATCAGCGCATTCTGTACAAGTCGGATAAGGGTAAAATAGATGACCGCGTTCTAGTGGATATGGTAGCATACGAAACGTACCTTCCCAAGTACAGTGCAATAAATTTAATGCTCCATCCACATTTTTCCAATGTCTTAGATGGAAAAAGGCATATGCAAGAGCCTCTGAGTCACCGCGCTTCAAGATGTGTTCCGGCGGTAAAATGAGTGGCTTTGTTTCCAATAAATACTTTGGTACATGTGGGTTAAATTCTACAGCGCGGTGGATAGCTTCCACCGCACTCATTTCAATTGAACTAAGTCCACGTTTTGAGGCTATATCGGGAGAAAATTTATCTGCCACAGCTCGAGCTTTTAACAAAGCTGCAGTGTAGCATATTGTCGCCGACTTGGGCAACGAAATGTCATCATACTTGGCCAAAACTGCTTGGCAGTCGGCATAAGCTTGCATCTCCAGCAGAGTCTCTATGAGATTTTCATGCACGTTTAGCACATTCATTATAGACGGTATCTCTTTGCTAAGATCACGAAAAATCTTCGCAGCCTCCTTCAGTTTTCCGAGCTTTCGTGCACACATAGCTAGACGTCGCTTAATGTAGATTAACACATTTGTATCACGACGATGTATACCTTCAGCTATAGGGCCTTGATGTTGAATGGCCTGTGACCTTCGATAATTTGTCTCTGCTACTTTTAGAGCAGTTTTTAAAATTTTCTCTGCTTCAACGATAGTAGTTGCCTCCTCTTCTGCCAATAAAATATAAGCTGACGCACATTCTGGATTGATTTCCAACGCATTGTGAGCTGATTTTATTCGTTGAACAGGATTTCGTTCGCGCCAGGCTGTTTGCATTATTTCATATTCCTCTTTCCTTGCATCACCTTTACACAAGGATTATTTTTATATACATTGTTGCATTTATTTTATGCGTATACTTACTTACCTTCACACGTAAAAAACGTCTGATGATCTTGTGCACTCAAATTCATGTCGTAATACGTAAGAGGCTCTTTGCTTGTAGCCCAAAAGAAGCGTTGATATTCAGCTCCTCGATACAAGTTTAAAGGATTTCGCCAAACTTTGCATTCGTTTGAGTCCATTTGGAGACTGCAAATGCTCATATAGTGAATATAACTATTCAGCGTGACTTTCTACAATTTGATATTTTTAAATGTTGAACAAAACTAATCTTAAGTTTTTTTTTAATTGTAAAACATTTTTATTTATTTAAACAATAATGTTTACTACTATTTGGGTACTTGAATTAATTTATATCGGGTATAGAATTCCAAAAAAAAAAATGGATCCCAACGTAAACTTACTGAAATGAAATCTAGCTCCCCATTTACTCTGTACGTCATTAAAAGGAAACAAACTAAGTTGTGCTATTTATATTTATCCAAAAAGCAATGCCATACACGTAAGTGAATGTCTTTCAGTTTAGCCTGCCAGTCTGGAGATCGCTCCTGGATAACTTAGGTTGATACGCACATACATGCCCCGCGCCGTCGACGTAGAAGCTCCTCAACCATTATTAACTTTTAACTTGGGACAAGGGGTCTCACAGACCTTCGTGCTCATGTCGAAGAAGACTGAAAATGCTATGTGTGTTAACTTTGGTAAAGTTTTTTGGTTCCTTACAATAAAAATTGATTATTTCAACATTAAATCTTTTAATTTAAGACCTATTTATCACCTTCCTAGTCTTTGTTTGCAGCGTATGAGATTCCATGTTCAGGCTAGTGTTACACAAAAAGGTCCATACTTAAAGGTTAAAGGAAGATTTATTTTCCTGGAAAAACGAAAAACCTAACGGAAGGCACGCTTTCAGTGATTTATTTAGACGAACGTACACTCCGAGGTCCAATTATCGACTCTACATACCGGAATGATTTGAAGGTTTACACGGCCAAGGGTTGTTGTTTCGTCTATCTAACCACGTTTAGGTCGTCGAAATATCTCAAACGTTGTTCGCAAATGGGGCTATATCTGCTCCGTATTCTTCGGCTCAGGGGTGGCATAGAGTCAAACCCTGGGCGAGATATATACACCTGCTGCGTAACGCACCGGCAGTGGACTACGACATTCGTGACCACATGCTGTGCAAACCAGACCGCCTCCACGACACACCGGAGCTCGCCCGAGTAACACAACACTAACTCAACCACACCCCGACACACCACAACAATAGACACATTCAACTTTGTTGAATTCCACCGGATACAATGTGCACCGATGAGATCGCGAGCGAGATAATGGTCGTGCCCTAGCGTTCATCATGCACCACACCGTGCAGTATCGTCTTATCGAAGCAGACATCGACCGCAGGGATACCACCCTAGAATGTCAGGGCATTGCTATCCGGTCAGGCGATGTCGAGCTCGAAATATTTAACATATACATACCCCCTGTCACCTGCTGCCCGGCAGGATATCACCCTGATATAGGTGCGCTCCTCAGAGGTGAAAACCGTATGGTAGTAGGTGACTTTAATGCGCACCACGATCTTTGGCACTCAAGCCTGTCAAACGATCGTAGGGGAACAGACTTGGCTGAGCAGATAGACGATTCGACATTCTGCACAATGAACGACGACGCACCCACCAGGATTATGGGTAACTGCAGTAGCTCGCCAGACATCAC